AGAGTTCAGGTCAAGAGTCAGGGTTAAGGTTAGTTGAGGGGTGGGTCCTAGCCTGAATTTGTATTTGGAGTCAGGAACTCAGTCAAGGTTTAGGTTCAGGATTGAGGTATAAATTGGGGTTGTCAAGGATGAAAAAGGATTTGTAGTTTAGGATTGGGTACAAGTTAGGGTTTGGGGTTTGTATCATAATCGGTGTTGGAAGTTGTGTCAAATAAGGTTTAGACCCTGCTCAAGGTCAGGGTCTGAGGTCTCACCCTATCAGAAGCATTTGGCCAGGCCTTCTCCATGAATGGCACCACTGAACATCCAGCAAGAGACTTTGAAATCTTAACATCTCTCTCCACCTCACCATAACCCCCATCCAATCCATCACTAAGGCCTGCAGATTCTCTCTTCTGAGTGAATTTTGAATCCATCTACCTGATGTCAGCTCTTCCTTCCAACCATCCTTATCCAAATCACCATCATCTCTCATCTGGACAATAGCAAGGACTTCCCCATGGTCTCCCAATATCCCCACTCTCCCCCCCAAATCCACTCTTCATACAGTAGCCAAGGTGATATTTTGAAAATTTACATTTTATATTATTTTCCTGACTCAAGTATAAATTGTTCTTCATTGTTCACAGGACCAAGTCAGGCTCACCATGACATACAAGCTCTTGAATGGTCTGATCCTAGTCAACCTCCAGTCTCCAAATTCCATCTATACCATCTTCCATCTCAGGGACTTTGCACATACTGTTTTTGCTGACACATTCTCCAATCTCCTCCCATTTTCTTCTAGTGAATTCTTAATATTTTTTCAATATTCAGCCCATTGTCATTTCCTTGGTCAAAACCTCTTGAAAGTACTTTCATAATACCCTGTATCTTTCCTTCTAAACACACTGTATAGATGTAATTTTGTATTTGTTTATGACTTATTTTATTATTTTTCTTTTACATGAGGCTGTCAGTGACTAATGGGAAGAGAGGTCATCTAGGTTTGTGCACCCTTGTACCCTCAGTACCTAGCCCAGCCTGGACTATAGCTGGTAACCAGTACGTATTTGTTAAGTGTATACAGGATTGGGTCTGAAATGGAAATGTGGGGTGAGGGCTGGAGAGAAATCTAGGATGGGAGGCATGATGGATTTGACTATTCATGTGGCTTCAAGATATGGATTTGAATTGGGTTTGGGTTTATGGTTTGGGATCAGATATGGGATTTAAGTTGAGATTTGGATTCAGTCTTTAGGTCGGGAGTGAGGGATGATTTCAGGAGGGATGATCTCAGGAGGGATGATTTTGGCTACAAGAACCAAAAACTCTAACCCATGAAGGAAACCTGAAAAAGTCATGAGACAGAGGGGCTCCGCAGTCAGCCAATTCACCAGCTCAGCAGCCTCACAAAGACTGCTGATCCCTGTCTCTCTGTTTGGCCTCATCAAAGATTACTGATCCTCATCTCTCTGTTTGGCTTGGTCGGTGATCACTTCCCTTCTTGGTCCCAGGAGGACTGCCACAGTTCCAGAATTTGCATCTAAAAGGGACACCGTGTAGCAGAAGAGAATTCTTCCGGAGTCTCTTTGTGAAAATGAGGAAATTTATCTTAGAAGTGCCTCAGTGGTCTTCCCCTCACTTTTCATTAGCCAGAACCACCTCACACGGTCATTTCTGAACTAATCAAGTAAGTAGAATGTGGCTTATAGTCATGCGAAGGATAAAGCCTCATCCAAATAAAATGGAACCTCTGCTAGAAAGGCAGAAGGAGTGAATGCTTGGGAAGGTGACGATATTGTCTATTCCTGTGGGTCACGGGTGGGACTCAGTTAGGGGCCGGATTGAGAGAAGGTTTGGGCTCAGGATTGCGGGATGAATCCTATTTCGGAGTCTGATGTAGAGGTTGAGGTCAATTCCAATTTTAGGAATTTGTCTTGAAGTAACTCAGACTATAGTTTCCATCATACTCATACTCAAAGGGAAGGCCAAAGACCTTCAAGGTCCCATGTCATCTGAGTCCTGTGATATTTCTGGCCTCATCGCTGCCCCTCTTTCTCTTGGTCATTCAGTTCTGGTCACAATGGCTTTCCTGCCAGGGCACTTCCGGCTCCTTGCCTAACACACCCGCCTGCTTGCTCTGCCTGGAACTCATTATCTTCAAGTAGCCGCACGGATCCTCTCATCATCTCCTTTAAGATTTTGCTCTCCCAGATGGCCAAAAATCACATTACAACAAAGATATTTGTATCAGAATGTTTATTGCAGCCCAATTCATAATTGCCAGGTCATGGAAGAAGCCCA